TTAAACTAAAAAAAAAAAAAAAAAAAAGAGCTTTTTGGCAGCAAACCCACCAGATGGGTTTGGTGCAAACAGGGATAAAAAGTAGCCCATGCCCACAGTTAAATATTCTGCTGGATCTTTAATATTGTGGGCCTATTTTTCTGCCTGAGGTCCTGGATATCTTGTTCAGATATTGGCATCATGGATTCTTTCAAATACCAACAGATAAATCTAAACCTGACTGCCTCTGTTAGAAATCTTATAATGGGCCGTGGTTGGATTTTCCATCAGGACAGTGATCCAAAGCAAACATCAAAATCAACACAAAAATGTGTCACTGAGCACAATATGAAGCTCCTGCCGTGGCCGTCCCAGTTCCCTGACCTGAACCTTATAGAAAATGAGTGGTGTGAACTGAAGAGAGAAAGCACCAACATGGAGCTGTGAATCTGAAGGATCTGTAGAGATTCTGGATGAAAGAATGTTCTCTGATCTCTTGTCAGGTGTTCTCCAAACTCATCAGGCATTATAGGAGAAAACTCAGAGCCGTTATCTTGGGAAAAGGACGTTGCAATAATTGGGTGCCAATAATTGTGGCCAATGTGAACTAGAGAAAAACATTTATTTCATTATAAGATTTCCCCCCTTACTTGTTTTACTTCAATGATGAGAATTGTGAATTTTCTGAATGAAAGATCAAAAGGATAAACGATGCAGATTTATTTTCACAGCCACCTTTGCTCATATTTACCAACAGTGCCAATATTACTGGAGGGCACTGTATCTGAGCAATTCATGTGGTTTACTACAGGCAACACACATCGCCAAACCACACAGAATTATTAAAGAGCCGTTTAAACAGGACTTGTAAGGAGACTTAAAAAATGTATTTGACATGGCATTAAAAAAACATTACATTCATGGTGTGAGACCTAACCACCAAAGACCTCTAACGTGTACAGACCAGTGGTTTTTGGCATGCATATTCACTGATTTACTCATTTGCCAATTTCATTTCTCTCTCTTTTTTACTGTCTCTCTCGTTCTCTTTTAGTCATGGGAACAAGGAAGTGTTTTCCTGCCGTGGGATTGAGCTGGCAGTTAATTACTTCCTTGACCGAGGACACAGAAATATCACTGTGTTTGTGCCTTCCTGGAGAAAAGAGCAGCCCAGACCTGATGTACCTATTTCAGGTAGAGACACTCCCTCAGCACTTTTGGTAAAAATGAGTCATCACAGACCGATTTGTCTGAAAAGCGAAAACGCCCATCTGACTGCACAGACTCAAATATGCCTATACTTCACACTGCAAAAAAAAAAATTTTCTTCAGCAGTATTTTTGTCAGATTTTTCAGTAAACATACACTACCGTTCAAGAGTTTGGTGTCAGTAAGATTTTTTTTTTAATCCAGCTTTGATCACAGCAATAAATTACAGTTTAAAATATATTCACATAGAAAACAGTTATTTTAAATTGTAATATATTCACAATATCACTGTTTTACTGTACTTTTGATCAAATAATTGCAGCCTTGGTGAACATAAGAGACGTCTTTCAAAAACATTAAAATATTACTGACATCAATACATTGTAAAGCTGAAGCTTTTGACTCTGTTGTGCGCTAATAAACAATGTGGTGTTTTCACATTGCAAAAATTAACATGTCTTCTCATCTGTTTATAACTTCAACTATAGTGTAATTTTGTAAAATTTTGCTGTTCATTAGTTTATTGTTGCAAAACAGTCCCTGTGTACATCTGGTACTGGTACAGCATACTAGTACAAAATTGCCTTTGTATTAGGACTTCAGGTTTATCAGGCCAGAGGTGTTGATGTGGAGATGATAATCTCACTTGTTTATGTCCCTGGACTGTCTCTCTTTTGTTGTGAAAGCCCCTGCTCAGATTCCTCAAATCAATTTGAGCAAGAACAGTAATAACAAAACAAGAAGAATAAGGAAGAGTTAAGTTTCCTGCAGGTCTCAATGGGAATTCCCCACCAGGAAGTTCAAGAGATTTCCTTATCACCTTGAGTTTCACTGTGAATCTTTAATCGAGTCTGGTGCTGTGTGATGAATTATTGCTTCTTTCCTGTTTCATATATGATGGCCTGTGTTCTTGGGAATCTTTCAGTTTACCACCTCCCCAAAGTAGCATTTGATATGGTTACCTTTGGTAGATATTAAATGCTAATTTGGGGGAATAACCATTTGTTTTGAATCTGTAATGTAGAAAACTGGTCAAGCAAGGGTAATTGCATCAAAAATTAGTTACAGCTTAAAGGAGTTGTCTATAATAATTGTCAAATTGTTTCAAATTGATGGGAGTTATGGTCCAGTTATTCTATCAGCGACTGGCAAATAATGTCCGATGACTATAAGAAAGACAGCCTTCATTCCAAAGTCATGCTAAAAATTGTCTACAAAAGTAATGAAAAACGTAAAAAGTGTTTGTCTTTATTTCCAGATCAGCATATTTTGGAAGAGCTGGAAAGGAAGAAGATTCTTGTATTTACACCTTCACGAAGGGTCGGAGGAAAGCGTGTGGTCTGCTATGACGATCGGTTTATTGTCAAATTAGCTCACGATCTGGATGGCATTATAGTGTCGAACGACACATATCGTGACCTGCAAAGCGAACGTCCAGAGTGGAAACGTTGCATTGAGGAGAGATTGCTTATGTACTCCTTTGTTAATGACAAGTATGTTCTTACAAATATTCTTCAATAGCTGCTAATGCTTTTGGCAGTACCTCATCTTATTCCTATTCATTTATCTAACCATCATCATTCACCACAGGTTTATGCCACCTGATGACCCTCTCGGTCGTCATGGACCCAATTTAGATAATTTTCTTCGGAAAAAGGTGATGTTGCTTGACCACAAGCGACAACTCTGTCCATATGGTAAGTAGTTATCAGTTTCTGTCATTCAGAATCATATATGCCATATTAACCACAAACTACTAATTGAAATACATTTCTAGGGTGGTTAATTTTATGTGTTAGTTCAGTGCAACTTATTATAAAAATATAGCCCAATAAAAAAATGGACATCATTAATCATGCCCAATGACTCATCCCATATTTCGTAATAATGGATTTTCCTACCATCAAAGACATTCAAGCTGGATTTAACACCCTGTAGGCCAGTGATAAGCTCAAGCTCAATTATAAGAAAACGAAGCAAAATGGTATACGGACTTCTCAAACAATTGTAAAGTCTGATTTCAATTGCAATGTCTTTGAATTTTCTTCAGTTGGCTGCCTTTTCTTAGCAAATACTGATATGTGATTTGATGTAAATTGATTAAAGTTCCCATATTATGCTAATTTACAATTTCATAATTTTATTTTTGGGGTCTGCTAGAATACATTTACATGATTTAAAGTTCAAAAAGCACATTATTTAACTAATACTGCTTATTGCTGCAGCAACTCTTTTCTGCCTGAAACACTCACTGAAACTCACTGTCCTGTCTCTTTAAAGCCCACCTTTCTGAAAAGTCCAATCTGCTCTGATTGGTCAGCCACTTAAAGTGCGTATCAAAAATTTAACGCCTCTTACCATAACTGGGTTTCAGCTTCAGAGGCTTCATGGGCAGCTGTAAACAGAACGATGACTATGGTAACTGTTGTGTTGGTATTGGAAGTCCATACAATGTCCAAACAGCATCTATTTGACATTGTAAAGTCACCTATACAACTGTTCCTTGAGATTAGGCCAGAGTAGCCAGTACGTCTCTCCAGAACTGACGTTGGCCACCTCTGAAGTACACCAAGGATGGGCAAATCTGGTCTTGGAGGGCTACTGTCCTGCAGAGTTTACTTCCATCCCTAATCAAACACACCTGAAAAATCTAACCTATGTCTCCATGGTTGCTAGAAAAAAAGACAGGTGTTTTTGATTATGAATGGAAATAAACTCAGGACAGCAACCTTCCAGGACTTATGTTGCACATTTCTGAAGTAGACCTTATAACACATTTGTCGTTTACTCTTCAGGAAAAAAATGCACATATGGGATCAAGTGTAAGTTCTACCACCCAGAGCGCACAAGCCAGTCACAGCGTTCTCTAGCCGATGAGCTTCGAGAGAATGCCAGACGGTCTGGTTCAAAAGAGGACAGCAGAGTAACTGGGCCACTAAGAGGCATGTACCCAAGAAATGACCCTGGTTTTGGGTCCTGCTCACCCTCCTTGGAGCAAGAACTGGAACAAAAGCTCAACTTGGATCCCAAGAGCTCTGACGGCAGGGATGTTATGCTCCAGTACTGGGATGACATTTTGTCCACAAAAAAGCCCTTATATACAGCCACAGTGGGACAACGCAGTGCTTTGGCAGACAGAACCAGTCTGCTAGCACCTTACCCAACAAACCCTTCGTCCATTTTCAGTTCTGACTCAGGGCTTGGATCCTACCAAAGCCAGTTTTCAGATCCATCCCAGAGCATTGAGTTGCATAGGATGAGATCCAATCATTCACCAATGTCTGGTAACCCTGGTGTACCTGCAGGTGGCCAATGCTACTATGACAACATGAGTCCTTTCTCCAACCATCAGCCCAAATTTGGTGCCTGCGGCTCCCTACCTTTGCCTAACCCTGTCCAGCATTACAGTCTTCCTGCTTACGGTGCCTGGTCTTACCCTTTCTTCTTACCACAGGCAACCAGTTTACCTGAACCTATACCCTGTCCTAGCTCGCACATGTCTCCCGGTGTCTATGGAAGCCAGAAGCACTCAGGCATGCCACAGTCCAATGCTTTCCAGGAAGAAAGAGAGGAGGTCAGGAAAAAGCTTCATGCGATTTTTAACCCGCATCATGTAAACAAAGTTATGGAAATGTTCCCGCAGCTGAAAGATGCGCAGCAGTTGGCAGCAGAGGTTCTCAAACTCAAGTCCAGGGGAGAGTTCTTCTGATTCACTGAAACTTTGGGATCATAAAAAAAAGAGACAGCATGCCAAGTTTCTCGAAAGAAATAGTCTCTACACTCTCAGAAAAAATGTGCAAAAATTGTACCTTTTTAGGGGTACTTTTTTACCCTTAACAAGTTTGTAGTAGTAAAGGTACCTATTACTACTCTAAGGTACTAGTATACACCTTTTAGGGGGAGATAAGATACAAACTTGTCAATTTAGTGGTATAACAGCTTGTCATTGGGGCACTCCCCAAACTTTGTACCTTTTTTACCCTTAAAATTTCATAGTAGTACTTTAAAGGTACCCATTACTACTCTTAAGGTATTAATGTGCACTTTTTAGGGGTAGATAAGATACAAACATATCCCTGTATGGGTACAACAGCTTGTCACTGGGGTGATCCCTGAGCTTTGTACCTTTTTACCCCTAAATATTCATAGTAGTACTTTAAAGGTACCCATTACATCTCTAGTAATATGCACCTTTTAGGGGTAGATAATGTACAAACTTGGCCCTTTAGGGGTACAACAGCTTGTCACTGGGACATTCCCTGAACTTTGTACCTTTTTTTTTTTTTTACACCAACAGATTCATAGTAGTACTTTTAGAGCTACCTATTACCACTACTATTACTTACTACTACTTTAAAGGTACCTATTACTAATATGCACCTTCGAGGGTAGATAAGGTACAGACTTGTCCATTTAAGGGTACTGCCCGATTGACAAGGTGTTGTACCTCTGAAGGTAAAATTTTTGCAATTGTACTTTTATTTCTGTTGCTTTGGTAGCTCTTTTCTGTGTTTTGTGCTCTTTTTAAAGTCTCAGAAACCTTAATGACTTATCACATAGTACGTGTGGTAACTCTGTATGACTACAAAGTCAAATGTGTGTCTAGATGTTTTTAAGAGGTTGATGCACATTGCATCAATTGTTGCTCCTAACGTGTAGCAAACTGTACAGTACCTTGGCTCGAAGGCTACAGATTTGGTTTTGGACAGAACCTGAAATGTAATTTGAGCAGTCTAAATATAGTTGTATGTAATTGCAGTCATTAAGGAACCGCCCTGTTTTCAATGCTCAGAGTAATTTTGTAGTTAGTAAGTCTGCTGCTAATTGTTCATTCAAAGCAGCTCCACCACAGAATCACTTAAAATAGTAGTAGGTGTGATTCCTTGTCTCCTGCACTCTTTTCATTGTATTTCTTTGTTTCGGGTATTAGGGTTGGGAATCCTCTGATAGATTTGTATTACAGTACTTAAGTCAAGCACTGTGATTTGACTCTGTGACGCATTGCATTTTGTTGAAACTTACCAAAGTGCTGGACATCATATTTAATTGTGCTTCAATGTTACGTTTCAAATCAGGTTGGTTCTACTATGTAACTCTGAGCTTGTGGATTTTGACGATTTGAATGGACAAAGGACATCTCACATCTTTCCTTCTATGCAAAATTGACTTTCATCATCTCATTGTTCAAACATCCGCTCTCAAACAACAGAAGAGCGAATTATTTGCACTAATTAGTCATGATTTTACATTTATGCATGTCAATATGTCAAAGGCTTGACATAACGATGTATATTATACAATGAATAATTATAAAAAAATATTGAGGCTTTAGATGTGTCAATTCAACATAATGATGAAAGTTGTTATTATAATATATTATGCTGATGTTTTATCCACTGTTTTCAAATGAGCATATAGGCATTTGTGTAATCATAACACATTTATGTCTTCTAACATCTATATGAATGTGAACAAATTCATAGACACTATCAGTGAGTACGAGTTTGTACAATTTCATGTTTTCTCTTCAGAGGAGACAGTCATAGCAGATTTTTAATTATAACATCTGTTTGCAAAGATGTTCCATAGACATTACCTTTTGCCCTCTTGTTCTTGTTCTGTTAATTTTTCAGTTCTAAAAATTTCATAAAAGTCAACGATAACACTCACAGCCTTTATATATAATGCATTAAAGGTATTCATAATGTAAGTTGTAATGCATTATATTTTTCAGAATTAATTGTAACCAAGTTTAAAATGCATTATATAGTTTGTCATGTGTTTTAATGCATTATACTTTCTAAAGGTGTAACAATGAATCGTTAAGTATCATAATGTATTATAACTATGGTTACAATTATTCATTTGATCATACAATGCAATTTTAATGCATTATATGTAAAGACTTTAAATAAAGTGTTTCTAAATCAACTGCTTTAACATAGATTGTCATGTGTAGTTCATGGTGTCCAAGTAGCAACTTGCAACATGTTTATATCCTGCCAGTGCATTATAATCATTAATGTGAACAGGAAACAAGTTCTCAGTTTTGTGTTGGCAAATGCAATAAAAAACAAAAATGATCTTCTTGCTTCTTGTCCCTTAAACAGTAATGAAAATAAGTCATAAAAAAGTCCTCTCACTACCCTCACTAATTAATGCCATGATTAAAGGTAAAATATTTAATAAAATTGAAAATTACAATAATAGGAGAACCACAGTAAGCAGTAACAAAAAAAATTCTAAAACATTTTTTAAGCTGTGAAAAAAAAAAACATTGTAATAAATAGTATGTTAATATACAAAGACACTTCCCATGCAACCAGTGGTACCATAATTAGTAAATGACAAACACAATCTTCATGAACTTTTTTATAAACATGAATATAAGGGAATATGCACATTTCTTATGGGTTCACTTTATTGGTTTCACTATAACATGTATAATTTAAATAATCCTGCATCCAAGTTTTGCAATCCTGCAATCCAAGTTTTAAAATATGCAAATACTGTAGTCTCTCAATTAATATGAGCTGTAAAAATACTGCATGCATCATAATTATTAAAAAGGGGGGAAAAAACAGCACAATGTTTTGACAGTTTTAGATGGAGATTAACCAGTAATACCACATACTTGAGTGTTTCATGTTAACTAAATATTAACAAGCTGGGAAACCTGCTGTTGTCACGAAATAAAATATTTCTGTGAAATAGTTTCTGTTTTGATTTTAATTGTGACTGATGGCACTGTTTTATAACTGGCATCTGAAGTATGTACTGAAACTACAATCCATTTAATCCATAACTTAAACACACCTTTAAATTTAACACGTTTTGTGCTATTTGTTACTTTATTAAATTGTATTATTATAACTACTGATTTCAAATAACTGTTTATCTATGTCTGATGGTAATGATGACCTACCTGAATATACTGCATGTGGGTAAATGTGTTTGCTAATGTTATTTTTGCATTGACAAGGTGTTGTACCTCTGAATGTAAAATTTTTGCAATTGTACTTTTATTTCTGTTGCTTTGGTAGCTCTTTTCTGTGTTTTGTGCTCTTTTTAAAGTCTCAGAAACCTTAATGACTTATCACATAGTACGTGTGGTAACTCTGTATGACTACAAAGTCAAATGTGTGTCTAGATGTTTTTAAGAGGTTGATGCACATTGCATCAATTGTTGCTCCTAACGTGTAGCAAACTGTACAGTACCTTGGCTCGAAGGCTACAGATTTGGTTTTGGACAGAACCTGAAATGTAATTTGAGCAGTCTAAATATAGTTGTATGTAATTGCAGTCATTAAGGAACCGCCCTGTTTTCAATGCTCAGAGTAATTTTGTAGTTAGTAAGTCTGCTGCTAATTGTTCATTCAAAGCAGCTCCACCACAGAATCACTTAAAATAGTAGTAGGTGTGATTCCTTGTCTCCTGCACTCTTTTCATTGTATTTCTTTGTTTCGGGTATTAGGGTTGGGAATCCTCTGATAGATTTGTATTACAGTACTTAAGTCGAGCACTGTGATTTGACTCTGTGACGCATTGCATTTTGTTGAAACTTACCAAAGTGCTGGACATCATATTTAATTGTGCTTCAATGTTACGTTTCAAATCAGGTTGGTTCTACTATGTAACTCTGAGCTTGTGGATTTTGACGATTTGAATGGACAAAGGACATCTCACATCTTTCCTTCTATGCAAAATTGACTTTCATCATCTCATTGTTCAAACATCCGCTCTCAAACAACAGAAGAGCGAATTATTTGCACTAATTAGTCATGATTTTACATTTATGCATGTCAATATGTCAAAGGCTTGACATAACGATGTATATTATACAATGAATAATTATAAAAAAATATTGAGGCTTTAGATGTGTCAATTCAACATAATGATGAAAGTTGTTATTATAATATATTATGCTGATGTTTTATCCACTGTTTTCAAATGAGCATATAGGCATTTGTGTAATCATAACACATTTATGTCTTCTAACATCTATATGAATGTGAACAAATTCATAGACACTATCAGTGAGTACGAGTTTGTACAATTTCATGTTTTCTCTTCAGAGGAGACAGTCATAGCAGATTTTTAATTATAACATCTGTTTGCAAAGATGTTCCATAGACATTACCTTTTGCCCTCTTGTTCTTGTTCTGTTAATTTTTCAGTTCTAAAAATTTCATAAAAGTCAACGATAACACTCACAGCCTTTATATATAATGCATTAAAGGTATTCATAATGTAAGTTGTAATGCATTATATTTTTCAGAATTAATTGTAACCAAGTTTAAAATGCATTATATAGTTTGTCATATGTTTTAATGCATTATACTTTCTAAAGGTGTAACAATGAATCGTTAAGTATCATAATGTATTATAACCATGGTTACAATTATTCATTTGATCATACAATGCAATTTTAATGCATTATACTTTCTAAAGGTGTAACAATGAATCGTTAAGTATCATAATGTATTATAACTATGGTTACAATTATTCATTTGATCATACAATGCAATTTTAATGCATTATATGTAAAGACTTTAAATAAAGTGTTTCTAAATCAACTGCTTTAACATAGATTGTCATGTGTAGTTCATGGTGTCCAAGTAGCAACTTGCAACATGTTTATATCCTGCCAGTGCATTATAATCATTAATGTGAACAGGAAACAAGTTCTCAGTTTTGTGTTGGCAAATGCAATAAAAAACAAAAATGATCTTCTTGCTTCTTGTCCCTTAAACAGTAATGAAAATAAGTCATAAAAAAGTCCTCTCACTACCCTCACTAATTAATGCCATGATTAAAGGTAAAATATTTAATAAAATTGAAAATTACAATAATAGGAGAACCACAGTAAGCAGTAACAAAAAAAATTCTAAAACATTTTTTAAGCTGTGAAAAAAAAAAACATTGTAATAAATAGTATGTTAATATACAAAGACACTTCCCATGCAACCAGTGGTACCATAATTAGTAAATGACAAACACAATCTTCATGAACTTTTTTATAAACATGAATATAAGGGAATATGCACATTTCTTATGGGTTCACTTTATTGGTTTCACTATAACATGTATAATTTAAATAATCCTGCATCCAAGTTTTGCAATCCTGCAATCCAAGTTTTAAAATATGCAAATACTGTAGTCTCTCAATTAATATGAGCTGTAAAAATACTGCATGCATCATAATTATTAAAAAGGGGGGAAAAAACAGCACAATGTTTTGACA